TTCCGATATGTAGCAGCGTAGTTTGTTCAAAGTATTGTAATTTTACAAGTTTGTACATAAGCGGTACTACATTAAAGCAGCATGCCTCCAGATTCATGCTAATTATTTTCACGAAAATCTTGAAAATGCATATAAAAGTTAAATAATGTGAAGTGAACAAAGAAAGTAATTTACACATTGCAAATTTCACTTACAATTCACGTATATAACCAAAATGAGGTCAAAATATGCAAAAATAGCCCTTAATTACAGCGTTAGTCACACAGTAAAATAGATTGTGATAAATACTGCTCAAGCAGTCATTTATCGCAAAAAAACATATAAATTATTACTTGAATATTGAACTTTTTTGTCTTAAACTCGTAAAAAAATTTTCCAAGTTTGTCTTTCTCGAATTTTTTTTGGTTCATCTGAATGCATGCAACTTTAAAGCTCTATTTAAACATTCAGATACCCAAGTGAGATTCTGTTAAATACCCGATGATACTAAAATATCAGTTTTTGCCACATGTTGATATAAGCTTCGTTTAAGATTTTGTAATACTTGTGTTAAAGCAAATATAAAATATATGAACAACATTTATTAAGCATTAAATACATGCATAATACATTAAACAAATACAAAATGTATATGGCAAAATGTATATGGCAGGTGTAAATTTAACAATATTTTTATAGTTCACGATTTTATGTAAATGTATATAATATATATTCATTCTTTTTTCTCCGCTACGATATTATACATACATTCTGTTTAAAAAATCAACATGCATTGTTTTAGTTTATTTCTGCATTAAAACCAACATAGGTCACACATTTGAAAAAAGGATGTTGGAATTTGTTAAATTATTCAAAGTTAGTTGAATCTAAATACAAATACACTGTACTTTAAACTCTGATTAAAATACAAATGTAGATGTCTCCTTACAAACAGAGGTTAAATCTCATTGTGTTTAGTCACGTGATCAAGCAATAATATCTGTTTATTTATATTGTGTAAGAAGTGATTATACAAATGTAAAAGAAACGAAATTGTCTTTTTGAAAATAGATATGTTTTGTACCTAGGACGAATTTAGATTAGTCTATGCCTATTCCAAACAAATCAAAATATTCTTCATCCAATAACAGGTGTCCATGCCATACACACAAATACAAATTTACATATACTGCTTAAATGTTGTGTAATTCGTGGGTTTACCTCAAAACTGTTGTCTGTTTATTACATACAAGTTACAGCAGTTTTGCGGTCAACCCTCGATATACATGTATATTTTAAAGTTGTTAACATATATGAATGGCACATTTCTTAAAACGATCTATAGCTAATGTTTTTTGCCTTTATATTGATCGTGATCACTCTCGTGCCTACAAATTAGGACAGGCACGTGCGCGTGATGTAGCACGTAATCGCTAACGCTGCCCAAGAACGTGCGCCTCAGCGTCCCCATCCCACGTGTGCCGACAATCGCTAGTGACGCACCGGTTTCCTCGATTCCTTTACACAAACCTTCCCCTGGAGATTCAGCGTGAATACTCTTCACAGTGCCATCAATCTGGAAAATGATTATTATTTATGTAAACCAGATTTAATATCTACATGAATGTAGTAAATATTATTCAATCACAAATGAGCCGTGTCACGACAAAACCAACAACGTGCGTTTGCGACCAGCATAGATCCATGCAGACCAGCCTGCGCATCCGTGCAGTCTGATCAGGATCCATGCTGTTCGCTATCAGTTTCTCTACTTGTAATAGGGTTGGTAAGCGAACAGCATGGATCCTGATCAGACTGCGCAGATGGCTCAAATGCTTTCTCTTCATATTGCACAAACAGCAGGATTTTTAACAGGAGTTTAACATTACTTTTGACATAAATACATTGGTTTTCAGCGATGCATCCATACAGAGGCATCCATACAGAGAACGACTGCGTTTTGACGGTATTAATATGAATCGAATATTTTATACAAAAACCAAAAGTTGAAAATGCCTAAATAAAACTATAATGTTAAGATTATACACTTCAACTATTCCGTAAACGATTTTCAAAGTAAATGAAAATAAGTAAAGAAACACCCCAATCTCACATTGCCGACGACGCACAAATTCAAATGCATTTCTGACAAAATGGACAGAGGTGATTAATGTTTAGTCTAATATAACAGAAGCCTATAAAAGTCAGTCCTCTTCTCAATGGAAATTTTCTTTAAAATCATGCTGTGATCTCAAAAATCTGAGCTTACACTAGCGGTTTAACTTCCCAAATTAAAACTTTTAGTGATAATTCTTCCCAAAATCAAGAGACAAAGACCTCTTTTCAATCAAATGAGAAAAAAAAAAACACTGTCCGGTAACTAATTGCCATTCTATCACATGCTTGTATCTGACAAAATATTGATCATTATGTATACAATTCAACCTTAATATGAAAGTCCTTTCCAACATGAATCTATTCACATTCCATGTCAATTCAACAGCTGTCACAGTGAACATATGAAGTTTTCTTTCATTGACAAGTATACACAATCATCAAATACAGTACTGTTTATACAAAGCATTTTCTAATAAGGTTAAAAAAATAATAATACAAATCCGCCTGCAATGTATATTCTTACAGGGTTTTTTAAGTACAACAATATAATAATAATAAGTTAATAACTTTTATCCATCCTAAATTCAAAATCGTAAAACAAAAGTCTAAAAACAGAAGTCTTTATTTCTTTTAAGCATGTTGTTTGAAAAAAATAATTTTCTACATAAAAATAGTTATAGTTAATAAATTTTCTTGGTAATATATACTTTGCTTCTTATGCAAAACAAACCCTTAAAATTCGCAAAAAATTTGGCAACGTCATCATCTTTAAAAGTTTTCCAAGAAATATAACATACATGTATCTTCATATGTACTACAAAAGAAAATGAAAATCTAAAGAAGTAGTTACCCCTGCATCTTTTAGGAGCACTGCAAACTTCTCTAATTTCTTTTTAATTCTTTCTTTTTCCTCATCAAGTAATTTTATAAGCATGTCTCTATCGAAAGAGTAGGGTGCTGAAGAAACAAAACAAATAGATTTTTTTTAAATATTTATCACCGTCATACAGAAATTATTCATACATTGTGTTGTGTATGATAAAGACTGTTGTAGCTTTCTGGATACGCACGCACACACGCACAAACACGTTCATGCACGTATCATTATAAACAATGCATACTATTTTATTTCTGTACTCTGTGTGGGTGCCAAGCCACCAAGAAAAAAATCTCACTTGATCATTAGCCGCATCAGATTGTACCCATGTGACTAGTGCAGATCAATCCGTGCCATCTGATCATGGTCGGTACTGTTTGCTTTTCAGTCAGTTTATATTTTGAAATTTTCTCCAAAAAAATAAATTTATATAAACGTTAATGTCTAGATTGAACGATGGGCGAGTCCATTTGATAAATCTAGCTTAATATGGGTAAAGATTCTTCTAGTACGGACCACTTTATTTCTAGGTTGGAGATATTGAATGTACTAAGTTGTCTTTATTTTGTAATACTAAAATATGTAGACTGTATAGCTTGTGTTACCTATATACCTTCATTTCGAGACTCTCAATATTGGAATCAAGTTAATTTTTATTGTATCATTTAAGACTTGTTTTGATCAGAGTTTCTCCAAATTGTCATTCTTAATGTCTTAATTATGACAGACATATTTAATTAAACACAAATGTACGATTTATACATTACTTACAATTGTACCATTGTGTTGAATGAAGGACGTGGTTGATTTCTACAGCGTATATAAGGTATACTTTATCCCCTTCTTGTCTTACGTTTGTAAGATAAACTGAAAAAAATTAGAAGAAAAAACAACATTTTGAATCGCAAAAATTTGTAAAACAGTTATATACAATTTTAAACATGCTCAATGGGTCTGCTTTATAAAGATTTTATCTGTTCTTTCAATTGAAGCATAACTTGCAGGTATGTATATAGATTAACATGCAAATACTATATAAATGTTTATGATGCACCCATATAGGTTACACACATTTTAACTTACTTTAGAAGTACAAGACAAACTAGCTATGCTTTTGATCAAAATATCATTATTTAATAAATGACCACAGTGTAAAGTCTTAAGTTGATTCAACCACCTTCATTAGGTAGAGACGTTATATCAGCTTATACATGTATTTAGATAGAATATTCAAGTGTTTATGAATGCTAATGAATGTACATGTATATATGTATACATGATTGGCATTTGATTCGGGTGTTTGACCTGTGGATTTAAACAAGAACTTTTCCTAGCACGGTTCTGACCATAATAGAACCCTCCTTTCCTGGACCAATAGATATATCTGTAAGTAAATAGATAGGACAAACGTAAATTGTGCAGGTTTACAGCTTCAGGTGGTTCCGCTGCTGTGAATCAAATATACCCGACGCGACGTGGCTGTAAATATTAACTCTTTAAGTTTATAAGAACGTATTTTACTTACAATTAAAAGCTGCTTTCGCATTATCACTTCCATCTACACCAATAGCTACTATTCTCTTTGGTTCCGTGTTTTCTGCCATGTTGATGTCCAAAATAAAAGCTCTTTTTTAATTTAATTATAAAATGTAGGTTAAACAAGTAAACATCCAATCTCACGTATACTTTCGTTATACAAGTATAGTGAAGTTCATATAGTCAGTTCCATCTAAACAGTATGGTTAATCAATTACGTGTGTTTTCGAATTATACAAAAGTAAACTTTTCTTTAAAGCGGAATGATGTTTTGAAAGCCTTAGTCTGGAATAAATTTAAATACCGAACTTGCGTAGTCTAGATAAGTGTAAATAAGTTTAGATAAGTGTGAATTTCAACTATATACTTGGTTGATATGATAATTTGTACATGTATGTTAATCTAATCGAATTAACATTGCAGTCATGCATACAAATGTACTGCAAAGTTATTGACAACGCATGTGATCATAATATAATTACTATTTACAATCAGGCGGTTTTGATTATGTTACTTTACTCACGATGAATGTTCGAATTTGACCTAAATGTTAATAAGTTAGTGATCATAAGATGCGCAGCTATACACAAAAAGTGACTTAATTACTCTGTCTATAGCAACTATATATTAATTAAATTTCTTTCTTTCAATTACATTATTCATTTAATATTATCTTGTATGTTTTTATATAAGTTTTAAAAACCGAGTTTGATTAGAATATTTTCTTGAAATTGATGATGAATTAATGCACCAATTTTGGATGAAGTGAGAAACTGACTAAAAATGACATATCGAAACATCTACATGTTTGAAAGATGACTGTGACCTTGACTTTCCAATCTGCATCTGTCTGCTGTGTCATAACTTTCATTATACGAGCTAACTATTGATTGTTTATGTATTGTAATTTCTATCTTGAATACATATACGTTGAGGCATACACCGCATAATATTTTAATAATTATACTGTTCTAATTATCTATTCTTCACAAGTTTAAAGGTCAGTGCACAATATTTAGCTTAACACATGGGCTTTTGGCCTTGTTCTTGAATAATTTGATATTTACATAATGTTTTGTTAGTGTAATTATTAATAGTACCCACAGTAAAAGTAAACTACTTATGCGTTTACATTTAAACGCCATTTTTTTAGAATATTCAAAACTTCAGGTATAGACCTTTAATACATGTTAGTGTTGTTAGTTAAACATTTTATTTAGGCTCAATTTTGAGAGAAAAATAGGTTGACGCTATTAAAACGCTTTAAGTCCTTTTGTTGGAACTAACCACTATTGATGTTATACCAAGAAACATTCATGGATGTGACCAAGAGCTCGAATCCATGGTACCTATACTGAGAGGTAGGCACCCTATTAACAACTAGGCCAAATTAACTCTGCATTTAATGTATTAATTCTCTTGCACATCACATGTCGATGTTTCTTTTTGTAATTTAAATAACACTAGAATTAAAAGTTTGCCGTGCACAGGATAAAAATTTCAGGTGATAAAGTTATGATCCTGTATGTTGTGATCAAAGTGGTAAACCACACCGAGTGGAATTATATATATATATATATATATATATATATATATATATATATATATATATATATATATATATATATATATATATATATATATATATATATATATATATATATATATATATATATATATATATGTACATAATTATGCAAATAAAACAATTTTCAAACATCGAATAATATGTAAAATATGAACTGCAAATATTTGTACATATTTTATGTAATCATTAAAATATAAGCATTCATTTCTTATTGTATAATTTGGCTTAAACTTTATAGCTTTATAGAAAATAATTTTTATTACCTCCCTTTATTTACATGAAATGTTAAATTCGGTAATATCTTTATAAATAATGCTTTTTGGAACCTACAATATTGATAAATCTTAATTTGAGCATCATATTTATGATTTAAACCCATAAAAATTGTGTTACGGGATATATTATAATACATATACATTAATTACAACCATATCAAAATATGTCAAACGGAAATGTTTATCTTTATTTAAGACATTAGATCGATATACATGCAGTAAGGCCAATAAAGGAAAACAAAGAAAGAATTAACCATACAACTTATTGTAACCATTCGATCATTAATTCAAAAATAGTTCTTAATGTAACACGTATTTATAAACTTAATTTACAAAATTAATGTAGTTTACATAAAATTTTGTTTTTCTGCAAACAAGACCATTCATTTAGAAATGACGTTAAATTGTGTCGGACGTGCAATGATTTTTGACGGACTATTGAGACTATATATTGAGATCTTTAGCAGAATGAGTAAAATATTGCTTACTAATTTAAATACTGCAGTAAAGTTATTTTGCATGAAATCTTCGTTGTTTAGGTTTACCACTTTAGAAGGATCAACATTGACCAACATGTATAAAGTAAGGTTACATGCAAACATGTCATTTAAGTAAGTCTTAATCTTTAATAATGCTTTACATTATTTTATGTCATCAGGCCAGGGGCTTTCAAATAGACTATAATGCCTATACCACGTCTTTTGTATCATATTTAATCCCTCATATTTAGCTACGTTCAACCTAAATATTGAATTTAGTACCACTCAACAAAATTGTACACACAGATTGATGACGTTTTACACAGCCGATGGATATTTTATTAGGAAAATAATTTAAAAATGCCAGTTAACACTTCAAAACGTCTTTATACACAGGTAGCTTCCGAATGTATCCACGAGGTAAATAATTTCATTTATTTTGCACATGTGGTTTTAAGTAAACCTTTTATTGACACTTCTAATTTTGATTTTATCATGTGTTTTCGCGACATTTTTTTTTACAAGCTTTTTTGGTCAAATGACGCTATTGATTTTCAGTAGAGTCTTTGCTCCCAATTAAAGTCACTGTCAGTCTTACTGGCTCGGAAGTATTCATGTAGATGTAAACAACAAGGTATTACTATTCTAGGTTTGGTTGTCATATGTTAGGATTTTTTCTGAACAGAAATTGGGGAAAAAGAAGTGTTAAAGTTTACAGTTACAACTGTATGTCATATATTGAAAGTATGGAATTCTGGTCCGTACATGTCTTACTAATGAATAAAAACAACCAAATATATCAGTCATTCTGAAAAGTGCTGGTCCAACGGACCTGACCAGTAAAATTACGTTCCGACCAGGAAAAATTCCGTCCAAGTCGGTCGTCTGTCCGGTAACAATCTTAAGATTTTACAGTCAACTTCTACATAAACCATCTTCAAGATAATATTTAGAATTTAAATAAACATAGTAAATATCAGTATTACATATTCCAAATCAAAAACTGAATCGCTCCAGTGATTCTTCCAAGATTGCTGTACCGAATGTCCAGTAATGTCAAATTACTTTTCGGAATGTCTGATATATTATTATTGATTACATCCTTCAATATACTCCCCCAGTTTCATAAATGGCATTCAATATTTAATACACGAAATGAATTATATAATTTATAGCATTTTGCATTAATAAAAACAACCAATTATATTATAATTATAATTGGTTACACCCTACGACATGTACACAATACACCAATAAACAGTTTCCAAACTTAAGCAGACAAAAGCCTATCTAATCTTTAAATATCAGTTGTTTTTTTAAGTAAAGATAACTTACTGCTATAGTTACCTTTCTGTTGTCTGTATAAATTGTTTGCAATGTGTCTGACAGGTGGTAAGTTTAACAGTGAATGTAAGTACAGTCATACTCAAAACTCAAAATATACCGTATGGCAAAGTTTATATTGATAAGATGCTAAGACAGTTTAAAGACCACTAGTTTTACATTGGTGTAAGAATTTTGAAAATCAGACAGTAAATTGCAATAACCTAGCAGTTTTAAAACGGCGTCATTTCGACTTATTTGTATTGTTCTCAATTTTACTCGCAACTCAGGATAGATAACACTTGATTTTCATTCGGTATTCATTTATGTACTTCATTTAGGCACTGTTTATCTGGATTTGGAATGGGGCATTATATTTTGCCCTGGTGATAAGGAGAAAATGCACAAGTTTGCTTTTATGTTTGTTTGAAACTGACAGGGAATACTAAGACGTCTCATCTTACCATGTCAAACACCACTATATTTTGGTTAGGGCAATGATCGCAACAGAAGTTACTTCTTGAATGTAGAATCTTTGTAAGCTTAGCTTAATAAAATGAAAAAAATTGTTTTTACTTTTCAGCCAGTTCAAGTGAACACAGTAGTAGTCATTCATCCTGGGTCACTAAATCTACGAATAGGTAGAGCATCAGACACTTTTCCTGTCACCATTCCACACTGTATTGCTAGGAAAAGGAAAGACAACTCTATCCCAGAGTACAGAACTCCATGGATGATCAGAAAAGAAAAAGAGGTTATTTTTATTTTTAAAACCTATGAAAGCATAAATACTCCACAACAATTATAGTAACAATACTTTAACAATGATTTTTCATGAAATTAATAATTTTTTATGAAATAAAAAAATTTTCATGAAAAAAAAAATGTTCATGAAAATATTATAGAGGAATTTGTGAAATCAGATAATCAGACAAATAAATACTTTAATACTAAAGGCTGATGCATTCAACCTTCTTGTTTAGCCAAAAGTTTTCATAACAACAGACACTTCATTTTTGAGAAAATTATCTGTTTAGGTGTTTACAAATATGCATGCAGTTATTCAGAACACTCATGCTGTTTAACAAGTGAAAATAGCGCCATAGAAGAAGTATTTGTCACATGCAATTTCATTTCTAATACTGTTTCAGGGCTCTCGATTGACACGGGGATCCGGGTTTTGACTCGTGAAAATTGGGAAATGCACAAATTTGACACGTGATAAAAACTGCTCAAGAGTCAATTTGCCACATGGGATTTTCAGCTATTCAATAATAATTACCTTTAATCCACCCCTAATTACCTATCAAATCCTACATATGTTCAAATGACACTCATTAAAAATGTCAACAGGCAGTATAAGCCGTGTATTAAATGCTTTACACACCACAATTGTTTATACCCTGTGCACTGAAGCGCGACAATTCAGTGGCTGCAATTTGACAGTGCTAAAAATAGCTCTACACAACTGATAAGAATAACATACTTGAGGTGTCTATTAATGATTGCTTTTAAAGGTTTATAATATGTCTTTGATTTACTTGGAGTACCTGTGCATTTGTTATTTCTTTTTCCATTAAATATTCCTGGTACATTTTGGTATTTAAAATTAATATGATATATAGCATACCAGTAAAGATATTTTTTTTTATATATTTTATACATTTAATCAGAAAAGCTGCTGCTTATTTTATTCTTTCACAGCAATTAATTTTTTTGTTTTATTTGTTGTTTGTTTGTTTTTTTTTAGGGGGATATAGACATAAATAATTATGGATTTTTTTTTGTCAATTTAGACTTTGGAATCTCCAAAAATGACCTCCAATACAGTCATTTTTGTAATATAAAAATGATTCATGTAGTCAAATGACACTAGAAAAAAATGATTTGACTCATGAAAATTTTGGCCAAAGAGTCTTTGACTCGTGAAATTCTGACCCTACTGAGAGCCCTGCTGTTTTCATGAGTTAAGACCTTGTTTAAAAAGGTCACAAGAGGTTTAATGACTTTAATGATGACAAATATATTCCAGTGTCTTTAGATCCATATTAATTGTTTTGCTTTTTCATGAAAACTAGCATTCAGGTGCAAGGAAACAAAGAGATCAAGGTCTGAAGGCAGCAAATGAATCCCTGGAAGGAAAGCCAATGGACTCTGGTGAATATAGGCCACCTTCCTCAGTAAAACAGGTATTGGCAATGTTAAGACCAGTAAGTTGATGATATTGATATGATAAAGTTAGACTTAAATGTAGACGGGACGCACTTTGAGTTTGACTCTGATTCTAGATTCAATGCTCTTGCTTCCATCTTTGGCAATTACTATTATATTGAATCATTTAAGAATGATTAAGCAGTTAATGAATAGTTAAAATTTTATATAAAATAGAGTTTTATGAATGCCAAAATGGAGAGTTATAGTTATACAAATCTGTTTGATTTTTAATATTTTTAGATCTGAGAAGTTATTGACTAAAATAATTTTATATTTATTTGAGAAGTGAGGATATCAATCAATATAGCCCCACTAAATAACTTAAAGTTAAATAGACTTGTCCAACTTTTATTCTGTACCAAAATATTTTAGGGAAAGTTTCAAAATAAGTACTGATTGAAAAGAGATCAGTGCAGGCAATGATCAGACAGCACAGTGAGGATGTATGAATCCACATTGTGTTGACTGCCTGGTTATGCTTGACCAATAAGTTTTCTTTCATAATTCATGGTCATGACTTTAAGGAATCTTTATGATTTTAAACATGCATTAGAATGTTTGGTAATTTGTAAAAGGATCATGCTTTTATCTATTTACAGCTACATAGTAACAACGTTAGAGTTAGAGGTCAAAGAACAGATGTGCCGTCTCCATTTAAATGGACAAACACTGACAGAAATCCACAGTTTGTGATTGGAGATGAAGTATGCATTGATATGTACTTTTTATTAAGTTTACTTATTCTTCAAATTTTCTGCAATGCCCTTTTTTTCATACCAGATTTGATTAAGTTTTAAAGGAAGTAGTTTTAGTTGTGCATTTAGAAAAGTGGAGACAATCTTGTTATCACAATTGAAAAAATTTGTCAGAAGTCAAAGTTTCAAAAAATAATTTGGTGAAAAAAAGTGTTGTGTTAATTTTCATTTGTTTAAAAGTAATTGATGCATGTTGTCATTAATGAAACTTTTTCTTCTTATGACCCTCCCTCTTTCTCTGCTGTTTTATAGGCTATGTATATTAAACCTGGGACAGGTTACAGTATAAATTGGCCAGTCAGAAGAGGCCGGCTAAATTTACATGATGGTCCAGGTGGAACAGTGAATGCAGTCATGGCTGACATAGAATCTATCTGGGGCACAGCATTAGAGACATTTTTAGATATACCTGTTAAAGATTTGAAGGTATGCAGTGATTTTCTATCTTTTCTTTACTTACTATCTCCAAATATGGGCTGTACATAGGTTAGAATCTGTTTTTCTTGAATGGGGCGTCAGTGGTCAAGTGGTTAAGGTAATTGACTTCAAACCACTTGCCCTTTACTGCTGTGGGTACAAATACCGACAGGGACTTTGGACTCTTTCATGTGAGAAAGTTATCCAGCTAGCTTAAGTAACATAGGTGGTTCTACTCAGGTGCCCATTTGTACCTAAAATAATGCATCGAAGGGCACCTGAAGTCTTCCTCCACCAGTAAAGCTATGTTGCCATATGACCTATACTGTGTTGGTATGACGTAAAACCCAATCAAACAAACTGTTTTCTTGAATTTTGATTTTAGTACTACTATAAGAGGTCAAATAATTCAATAAAGTGGAAATTATATTATTTATAGGTATTTTTCAAAGATAAGCAAGATTTAATACATGTTTTGTTTTGTAATTTATTTTACATAAATCATATAAGAGCATAAACATGTGTATAAATTCTAACAAGAGTTATTTTGTTGCAGTGGAATAACAATTTTGAATATTTCCAAATGAACTGTTTAAGTTCATTATATAGAAACATGGAATAGTGTTACTTTACCCCTAGAAATATCATAAGTTTTCTAAATACACTCAGTTAGGAAGTTTTTCAATACTTTGTCTATTAATTTTTTTTTTGATTTCAGAAAAAAATCTTTTTTAATACATGTAATAATGTTTTGTTCTATGTCTTGCAGTATTACAAAGCGCTGTTGTTGATACCAGATGTGTATACACATATGCATATACGAGAAATGATGAACGTGTTGTTAAACAGACTGGGTTTTGGTGCTGCAATAGTTCACCAAGTAAGTTGAAATATACATATCATTCCTTAATTGAACAAAGTGAAGCAAAACCTCTCTAAGCTTTTTTACACAATTTATACTTGTTTGACAATCACAGTAAAAGAGGATACTTGAAAACTCTGGAATCTTAAAACAGGTGATGGGATAGTTCATCTGAAAGATCTTGTTGAATATAAATGTATGTTTTTGCAGGAGTCGGTGTGTGGGGCGTTCGGTGCAGGTGTACCCACAGGTTGTATAGTAGATGTAGGCGATCAAAAAACCAGTGTATGCTGTGTGGAAGATGGAATATCACAAAGAAAAACAAGGTTGGTATTGTTAGCTCGACTATTCGATAAGAATAAGTAGAGCTATTGCAGTCACCCGAGCGTCGGCGTCAGCGTAACCACTTATGTTAAAGTTTTTGTAATAGTTCAAATATTTTCAAAGTCCATTGACATATGGCTTTGAAACTTTGCACACTTGTTCACCATCTTGACCCCAACCTGTAGACAGGAGGAGGTAACTCTATCAAGCATTTTGACAGAATTATGCCCCTTTTTCGACTTAGAATTTACGTTAAAGTTTTTGTAATAGTTCAAATATTTTCAAAGTCCATTGACATATGGCTTTGAAACTTTGCACACTTGTTCACCATCATGACCCCAACCCGTAGACAGGAGGAGGTAACTCTATCAAGCATTTTGACAGAATTATGCCCCTTTTTCGACTTAGAATTTACGTTAAAGTTTTTGTAATAGTTCAAATATTTTCAAAGTCCATTGACATATGGCTTTGAAACCTTGCACACTTGTTCACCATCATGACCCCAACCTGTAAACAGGAGGAGGTAACTGTATCAAGCATTTTTAGCTCGACTATTCGATAAGAATAAGTAGAGCTATTGCAGTCACCTGAGCGTCGGCGTCCGCATCGGCGTCGGCGTAACCACTTATGTTAAAGTTTTTGTAATAGTTCAAATATTTTCAAAGTCCATAGACATATGGCTTTGAAACTTTGCACACTTGTTCACCATCATGACCCCAACCTGTAGACAGGAGGAGGTAACTCTATCAAGCATTTTGACAGAATTATGCCCCTTTTTCGACTTAGAATTTACGTTAAAGTTTTTGTAATAGTTCAAATATTTTCAAAGTCCATTGACATATGGCTTTGAAACTTTGCACACTTGTTCACCATCATGACCCAAACCTGTAGACAAGAGGAGGTAACTCTATCAAGCATTTTGACAGAATTATGCCCCTTTTTCGACTTAGAATTTACGTTTAAGTTTTTGTAATAGTTCAAATATTTTCAAAGTCCATTGACATATGGCTTTGAAACTTTGCACACTTGTTCACCATCATGACCCCAACCTGTAAACAGGAGGAGGTAACTGTATCAAGCATTTTGACAGAATTATGCCCCTTTTTCGACTTAGAATTTACGTTAAAGTTTTTGTAATAGTTCAAATATTTTCAAAGTCCATTGACATATGGCTTTGAAACTTTGCACACTTGTTCACCATCATGACCCCAACCTGTAAACAGGAGGAGGTAACTGTATCAAGCATTTTTTTTACTATCAAGCACCAAGAATAGTCGAGCGTTGCTGTCCTACCGACAGCTCTTGTTTTTACTATCAAGCACTAAGAATAGTCGAGCGTTGCTGTCCTACCGACAGCTCTTGTTTTGGGAATTACGCTCATGATATTTGTTCTGTAAACTTATGAGGTTGTAGTTGATTTCTCCTCTCTAAGCAGTTTTAGTGCTGAATATTGAAAACAGCCTTAGTCAGGACAAGGGAGCATGAGAGAAAGGACCAAATATAACCTTGTCCATTGTCAAATACTTATTTCTGTCTTCATAACCTTCTTTCATTACATGCCCAAAGAATGTTCATAACTGATAATGTGATATGCAGACCTTCTTTACCTGGAATTTTTTTCATAATAACTCTTTAAAGGACTTCATTGGTTGTGTTTATATTTGGTTTGCAAGTATATAATATAAAGGTCAATTTTCGGTACATAAACATATGAAAAACTTTGCTAATTAATATATTATTTGTTCTCAGGCATATATTGCTATGTCTCGGTATCACCTTTGGTTATTAATACGTGAAAAGTTTTAGATGAAGATGGGTTATTGAATGTCGTCCTTTCTTGTTATCCCCCGCTGAAAGGCGGTGGGGGATATAGAAATAGTCTCCATCCTTTCGTCTGTCCTTCGTCCCACATTTTTGTCCGGAGCATATCTCAAAAAGTATTTGAGGTATCAACTTACAATGTTCATAGGTGGATAGATCATATTTAGGAGTTGTGCAATGCACAAGAATGATAACTCTACCCTGCATAATTTTTCTGTTATTGCCCTTTGTTATTTTTCAAACTTAATTTTTTGTCCAGAGCATATCTCAAAAAGCCTTTGAGGTATCAACTTACAATGTTCATACATTCATACATCAACATGAACCTTCATAGGTGGGTAGATCTTGCTGTGCACAAGAATTCGTCTGTCCTGCGTCCCACATTTTTGTCCGGAGCATATCTCAAAAAGTATTTGAGGTATCAACTTACAATGTTCATAGGTGGATAGATCTCACTCAGGAGGTGTGCAGTGCACAAGAATGATAACTGTACATTTCATAATGTTTGAGTTATTGCCCTTTGTTATTTTTCATACTTAATTTTTCACCTGATTGGAGCATAACTCAAAAAGTCTTTGCGATGTCAACATGAAACTTCATAGGTGGGTAGATCTTATTAAGATAGAATGTTGTGCACAAGAATGATAACTCTACCCTTTATAATTTTTGAGTAATTGCCCTTTGTTATTTTTCAAACTTGATTTTTGTCCAGAGCATAACTCAAAAAGTCTTTGAGATATCAACATGAAACTTCTTAGGTGAATATATCTCACTCAGGAGATATGCAGTGCACAAGAGTAATAAGTCTACTTATAATAATTTTTGAGATATTGCCCTTTGTTATTTTTCATACTTAATTGTTCACCTGAGTGGAGCATAACTCAAAAAGTCTTTGAATGCTGCCTTTCCTTGTTGATCTTGTGTATCATATTGTTTGAGATGTCAACATGAAACTTCATAGGTGGATTTATCATATTGAAAAGGAATGCTGTGGGCTAAAGATAACTACCCTTTATAATTTTTGAGTTATTGCCCTCTGTTATTTTTCATACCTTTTCTCAAAAGTGTTAGCGGTGTCAACTTGAAACTTCATAGGTGGATAGATCTCATTATGGAGGAGTGCAGCACACAAGAATAACCTACCCTGCATTATTTTTAAGTTATTGCCCTTTGTTATTTTCAGCCATCAGTATTCACATAGGTTTGAAATCTGTAATCACTTCAGCCATCCGTTTTCAGTACCAAAAGACCTCTTAAAATTGAATTATCCTGCTCTACTACATATATGTTCTTCCAATGAGCAAACACATTCGGCGGGGGATGGCCATGTTAACATGGCTCTTGTTTAACTTTTGTTTTCATATTTCATTATTGATATTTAAATCACACTTGTTTATTGTTTAAACTTCAAAACTATTATTTGCTTGCCCCTCTCTACTATAGGGAAACTAATCCTTTCATGTGAGGAAGCTATCCAGCCTGAAATAGAGCATAAAGAGACACCCAAGTTTTCCCTCGACTAGTAAGCTGGAAAGTAGCCATAGGATTTTTGCTTTACTAATGTGAATAAACACACAAGAAGTTAATAAACTTTTGATTATTAGTCCTAACTTGTCATGAATGTAATTTAACATTTATATATCTGCAGATTAACAATGGAAACTGGAGGTAGTGATATATCGAGGATGTTTCTAGAAATGTTGAACACTCTAGGCTTCAACCCAGCCCTAGATCTAAGATTTAATCCAGATTCTCTACTTATACAAGAATTAAAAGAAAAATTATGTCATTTAGATCATGTAAGTATATTAAATAATTAATCATTTATTCTTTTCTGTCTTTTCTCAGGGTTCCTTTATTAAACTGTTAAAAGTGCATATGGTAACTTTAAAATTCCAGTATAGAGCCAGGCTATCAAATTAGTATGTTCTGATTAAAAAATGCAAATTATGGAGTTATTATTTAGTGGTTAAGACTTGGTTGCTCCTGGCCATTATGTGCTGATTGCTTGAAGATGTACATAATGGCCCGAGGGCTGCAGGATCTTAACAGATGAGGCGAGTAAACTCAATGACCAGGGTGTTCACTAGCCATGAAATCCTGAGGGTCATTTTGACTAAGTTTTACCAACTACAAGGTCAAATCCCCATGATTTTAACAAAATGTGACCCTCCAGTTAAAATACTGAGGGTCGAATCAGGCCTTTTGGAAATTTGGAGGGTCAAAGAGTCATTTCAAGGGTCAAACGGACACCCTGATGACAGCCAAACCACATGTAACACCCTGTAGATCTTATTACTATGACAACGCTTTCATATTTAATATTAAGAGCTCTTCATATATTTACAGAATAGATATGGTTATTTAGAAGAATCTATACAGATAAAGCGACCAGGAGAGAATATTATCAAATATCTTATACAGATAGGAGATGAGCTGGTCCTTGCTCCACTCAGCCTTTTCTTCCCAGATATGCTAGCTTTACAAGGTATCCTATTCTATAATTAGACACTATTCCCAGATATGCTAGCTTTACAAGGTATACTATTCTATAATTAGACACTATTCCCGGATATGCTAGCTTTACAAGGTGTCCTATTCTATAATTAGACACTATTCCCGGATATGCTAGCTTTACAAGGTGTAATATTCTATAATTAGACACTATTCCCAGATATGCTAGCTTTACAAGGTATACTATTCTATAATTAGATACTATTCCCCGCTATGCTAGCTTAACAAGGTATACTGTTCTATAATTAGACACTGTTCCCAGATATGCTAGCTTTACAAGGTATATTATTCTATAATTAGACACTATTCCCCGATATGCTAGCTTTACAAGGTATACTGTTCTATAATTAGACACTATTCCCCGATATGCTAGCTTTACAAGGTATATTATTCTATAATTAGACACTATTCCCCGATATGCTAGCTTAACAAGGTATAGTATTCTTTAATTAGACACTATTCCCAGATATGCTAGCTTTACAAGGTATATTATTCTATAATTAGACACTATTCCCCAATATGCTAGCTTTACAAGGTATACTGTTCTATAATTAGACACTATTCCCCGATATGCTAGCTTAACAAGGTATACTGTTCTATAATGAGACACTATTCCCCGATATGCTAGCTCTACAAGGTATACTGTTCTATAATTAGACACTATTCCCCGATATGCTAGCTCTACAAGGTATACTGTTCTATAATTAGACACTATTCCCCGATATGCTAGCTCTACAAGGTATACTGTTCTATAATTAGACATTATTCCCCGATATGCTAGCTTAACAAGGTATACTATTCTATAATTCAACAGAAATGTTTTCAAAATTATATTTTTCGAAGGTGCAGTTTAGATTGCCAATGTACAATTTCTCTTGTTTAAGTAATTATTCCCCACCGATGGAATGGGGGGGGTATTGTTATGTCATTGTCCGTCCGTCAGTTTGTCAGAATTTCAGTCTTTTTCTTTTCTTCCTATGTTGAAAATTCTGGTTGCTATGGCAACACAAAGACTGAAAATATGGCAAATTTTACACATAAACTGAATCCAGTGATAACTGAAAAAGTACTGGAAATATTTTTATGAAACTTGACATATGGGTAGATGGCAGTCTGGAGATTATGCTTGTCTTATCTTTTCTTCCTATTTTGAAAAAATGTTGGTTGCCTTGTCAACAAATAGGCTTAAAACATGACAAATATAACAATATTTGTGATTAGTCAAAAAGAGCTGAAATTTTTTTATGAAATTGCATCTTTAATTTAAGAGTTATCTCCTTTTTAAGAATTTTTCTTTTAAAAATGTTATATATTTGGATGTTTCAAATATTAACTATAGAGTGTCCTTCAGTCTGTCTGTCTGTCTGTTCATAAAAACTGTTTCCTGTGATCACTTTTAAAGAACTTTTCCAACAAATTTACTTAAAATAGAGAAAAATTGAAACATTAATGAATGGCCAATGGCCCTTCAGAATGTTGATGGGGTTCTAACCCGTAGGGGACTTATGGATTGCTTGCAATACTATGATAATTGCTTGTTAAGTCATTAGATGAATGGCTTCATGAAGAATACTCCTTGCATAACAGCTGCTATTATTTTTCTAAATAATTATATTTATAAAGGTGAGAATCTATGTAGACTACAGAAACGTAATGAAGGAGACCCAGCTGACCCCCATGATGATTTCTACTTGAAACAAGTTCAGACCAGACAAGATCCAGTAAGTTTATTAAGACTTTACATTATAAATTTTAATTACCAATGATGAAATTGTAATTATACCTTTGCTATAGAGGTATGTTCACTTACTGCAGTAAAACTAAGTGTCTTACCCGCTCTATGACGAATTGCCTTTGCAAAATTTGAAAGAAAAACCTGTTTCACTTGCTTAATACACTTGCATGATAGTATTATGTTTGATGGAGTAGATTTTACTTGTTAATTTTCAAGTGTTTAGATAATTTATAAAACATTTAACAATAGGTCTTATTTTATTACTGGTTCAAACCTTACAAGAAGATAGTAATTACTATATATGAGCGTATTAGTGCTTCACCAATCATGCTGAAAAGGAATTTTATAGCTTCCCCCACCATTTACCCTTAAGTGATTAACTTTTGCCACCAATATAGACCAGACTCTATACTGTTGGTAACTCAGTTTTTGTATGTTGATATGAAAATCCCTCAATTTTCAAATGGACTGTCCTCAATACAAAGCAGGGTAAATCCAGTAGACAAATTCAGCAAGTAAAGGTTAAAGCTTTTCATTTGACCTTATAATCAAACAAGAAAAACATCACTAGGGTATTTACAAAGGCTTACATCATGATTTCAAAATTATTTGATGTTTAAAAGCCACTAAAATGCCTAAGAGTATTTACAGATGATATTTTAATTATTTGATGTGTTAAAGGCTACTAAAATGTCCAAGAAGAAGGATAATCAAGACACTACAAGAGAAGGTCCAGACCTTACATTAGATGAGTCTGGCCTCAATGTGCTACAAGATGAAGACTCTAATGATATGCCTGAATCAATGGCAATGACTGATACCACAAAAACTAGGCGAGGGGAGGGGGAAGAAGAAATGGAGGAGGAGTCTACAGTTGAACAAGTGACTCCGCCTCTAATGGGGTTGGATGAGGCTGTTCTTTATAGTATTGATAAATGTGGTAAGTTCAGTGTCCAAACAAATAGACTGATTTGTTAGTAATATAACAGGTCATACCTTGTTACCTTTTATAAAATATAGGTTTTTCTTGTAGAAAGCAGTTTTTGTTTTGTATTTACATTGTATGTATAAAGAATATGGGATATTAGTTGAATCTAAATATCTTAGACTAATAGTTATATATATTCTTGATATTCAACATATGGGTAAATCACTAGTTTTTAATATGTTGTGAAGAGTGCATATACAAATTGAACCACACAGTGTAAAACAAATCAAGTTTATGACTGCATAAAAAATTTAAACGCTCATAAGTGTGGAGAAAAAACAGGTGATGCCAGTAATCTGTATATAGCTTTGACAGCCTGTTCAAATAAACAGTCAGACCTGAAAACTACAGGTTACATTTACTACAAAATTCCCCTTTTATAAAAATTTGAAATCGCTTAAACCATAAATGGATTGCTCTAAATTCAAATAGTTAAATGTCCATTACACAAAATTAGCAAAACAAGGATTAATAATATTATTAAAACATGTAAATCAAGAAATTATGAACAGGCCCAAGTCTTCACCAAGCTTGGTGCTAAACTGTTTTAACTCATTCTACCTAAAAAAAGATTATAACTGTTCACATCAAGTCTTCCATTTGAAATATACACCAAGGTTTTTGGTAGTAGAAGGTAAAATAAATTTACCTTACAGATTCTGATGATATGAAGAAGAAGATGTACAGCTGTATAGTTGTGGTAGGAGGCGGGTTTAATTTTGAGAGTACGCAACCATGGTTACAGTATTGTATATGGAAGAATATGCCAGGATATTTCCGACCATTGCTTGAAACTATGGATGTCATTACAAGACCAAAGGTAATAAAAGGTTATATTCCTGGAATCATACATGTTGTGGGTGTATTATATTTGTCCTGTCCGTTTTCTTATTTTTTTTGTCTGCCCATAGGACCATAGACAACTTTGACCTAGGTATCTTTAAAGAGGCCTTCAGCTTTTATTTTCTGTTAGAAAAACAGTTCAGTGTTGTTTCAAATTAACTATTGCAGTAACTTTATCTTCGAAATGTGCATTATATCACATTAAGCCTTTTTCAAAACAGTGTCCTGAGAGTTGTTTATGGCATGTCAGTGACATTATTTCTAAAAATAGAAGATCAGGAAACAAATCATCCGCTTAACTTAATTACATTTTACAATTTACATTTAGAGTGGACCGGTAGATTAGAGGTATCGAGGGGTTTTCTTACTGTTTAAGTATTTAAATGACAGCAAATTTTATTTTCCACTTTAATTCTTTTGATTTGACAATGATATGAAACGATTTAATAAAAAATATTTTTTTCACCTTTAGAAACGCTGAAATCTGCGTTAATTAAACATGTACAAGCCAAAATCTTAATTATAAAGACACAACATACATGTTCCAATGTATAATCTTTTCTAATAGTTTTGACATATTAAGATAATTATGACCTTGACACCCAAATGACCTTAATCTTTGAGGTCAAATATTTATAATTACAATGTTCATAAATTTGACTCTTTTATAGATTTTTCCAACATAGCATGCATTACCTCCCCTTGTTGCCAATTTTAGGGTCATTCCCTATATAACATATGATTAAGAATAGAAAAAAATCCCTCAAAATCAATAATCTGTAACAGTATGTAAAATGGTGAAAATCTTTTACCCTTTACAACATTTTTTCGTTACATTTATAAAAGAACAGTTCACTTAAATCATTTGTTTTCTTTGATTACTTTTTTCTTCAATTATATAAAAATAAATAGTGATCTCAAAAAGGTCTTGCACTTTAATAATATTGTTAAAATAAGGAATAATATATTGTTCAATACACATTTTGAGGGTTGTTGCTTTAATAAAATATCTTTTCTTCTAGGAGTTAGACCCACAAATTGTGGCGTGGAAAGGTGCAGCTATCCTGGCTTGTTTAGATACTACACAAGAACTGTGGATAAAACAGAAAGAATGGCATCAGTTTGATGTGAGAATGTTACGAGAAAGAGCTCCCTTTGTTTGGTAAACACTGTTTAATATGCAAAGGATCCATTTTGACAATGAACCTTTTCAGGGAAAAATGCAGCTTGAATATGGTGATCATACTGACATAAAGAAAGCTCAGTTTGCATAGTTTGTTTGGCAGTCAAACTTAAAAAAGAGTTTAAGTATTGTTATGACAATATTGTTATTGAATATATCAGTATGCAAAGGGAGGGTAACAAAGAAAAACATAGATTACATAAGAGCTCAGTCATTATGGTGGACATACTGCAATAAAAAAAATGTATGGTTAACATACTTCATGAAGGAGCTGCATTTTATGCTAAAATGAATGGGCTTTCCTTGAAAATATAGAGAAATGAAAGGATGTTGTGTTCATAGTAGACAGATAGAAAGAAAATGCATTATGAATATCATAGACTATCACAATCCAAGAACTCTGAAGACAACATTTCTGCTGATTTTTTGGTTTCTGTTCAGATTAAGTACCAGACTGAAAACTCTATCAATTCTAAGGGAGGTAATAATGTCACCATTTTGATTGATATGTGGGAAAGAGTTATCTGTTACAGCATCGGGTACAACTGTGTTTTATAGTTTGGATAGTTAAAGGCTGTGCTATCAGACAGTGAGACTGATTGTTTGTATGAAAGTAGTCCGCGTACTCTTTGCCGCTGGCAAAAACTTTGAAGGAGGCATTTTTACTCTGCTGTGTTTTAGTGGAAAGTAGCAGGAAAGGTCATAAATATAGAAGTCAGTTACAAGACATTTTCCCTCATATATGACCAATGATAGTCAAACCTGTTTTAAAGAGCACCTCCAAATAAAGAACACTGTAAACAAAGACCATTTTTCGATAACCCTCCATTGATTAGATAGAATATAGTAACCTCCAAATAAAGGCCATACTCAGTTTGTCCTTTTGGGTGGCATGGTCATCGGGTTTGACTGTATGTTGAATAAGTATATGTTAATGATATTTGTTTATATGTTAATGATATTTGTTTAAAAAATCAAATAAATCTATTAACTGACATTTTGGGTGATTTTGTTTTTATGCCACCGCAGCATCTGCGATGCGGTGGCATATAGCGATTCACCTGTGTGTTTGTGTGTGTGTGTGTTATATAGATTATATAGTGAACTTAAAAAATTTTCTTGTGTAAAACCACTAGTCCAATTTCAACCAAACTTGGCAGGATTGTTCCTTGGGTGAAGGGCTTCCAAAGTTGTTCAAAGAATTTCATTCCATGCAGAAATTTGGTTGCCATGGCAACCAAAAGGAATTATAAGAATAAATTTAAAAAATCTTCTTGTAGAGACCCAAAAGGCCTAGACCTTAGATATTTTGCATAAGGCATTGTCTGGTAGACCTCTAACAAGATTTTTCAAAATATAGCCCTGGGGTCAAAATTGGCCCTGCCCCGGGGGTCATTGATTTTCACTATGTACATATAGTAAAAACTTAAAATACCTTCTTGTAAAAACCCAAAAGGCCTAGAGCTTAGATATTTTGCATAAGGCATCATCTGGTAGACCCTTACCAAGATTGTTCAAATTATAGCCCTTGGGTCAAAATCGGCCCGCCCCGGGGTCATTGATTTTCGCTATATGTACATATAGCAAAAACTTAAAATACCTTCTTGTAAAGACCCAAAAGGCCTAGAGCTTAGATATTTTGCATAAGGCATTGTCTGGTAGACCTCTACCCAGATTGTTCAAATTATAGCTCTGGGGTCAAAATCGGCCCACCCAGGGGTCATTGGTTTTCCTTATATGTATATAGAGAAAACTTAAAAAAAATTCTTCTAGCAATTGACAAATGCTAGAGGTTAGATATTTTGCATGAAACATTGTGTTGTAAACCCTAGCAAGATTGTTCAAATTATAGCCCTGGGGTCAAAATTGCCCCCCCCCCCCGGGGGTCTTTGATCAATATATACATATAGTAAAAAATAAAAAAATCTTATTGTCTGAAGGTACAAGGCTTAGAGCTTTAATATTTGTTAAATAATATCATCTAAAGGTACTCTACCAAAGTTGTTCAAATTTTGCCTCTTGTGTCAAAATTAGCCCCGCCCCTGGGAGCCATAGGTTTATCTTATATGTATATAGTTAAAACTTAAAAAATCATCTTCTCTAAATTTACAAAGGATAGAGTTAAGATATTTTGCAGGAAACATTGTGTAGTGAACCTCTAGCAAGATTGTTCAAATTATTGCCCTGGGGGTCATTGATTTTCATTATGCACATATAGTGAAAAAAAAATTTTGTCTGAAGGTTCAAGGCATAGAGCTTTGATGTTTGATATATAAATATCATCTATAGGTCCTCTACCAAAGTTGTTCAAATGTCAAAAATTGACCCTGCCTGGGGGCTCATTCTCATTATGTACACATAGTAAAAGCAGAAAATAAAACAAATGTTTTCTGAATGGGAGAAAGCTATAGCTTAGATATTTGACTTGAAATGTTGTTTGGTCGACCTGTATCAAGATTGTTATTAAACCCTTGGGTCGAAATAATGCCTTGCCCAAAAGGAAAGTGACCTACTTTCTTGTCCTTTGATGTACAGCAATGACATTTTGACCATGTGCACAGTTTTAGTTGTAAAATTGAACTTTGACCAAGATTTTGATGATGTGACCTACTTTCTTGTCCTTTGATGTACAGCTATGAAATTTGAACCATGCGGTGGCATAGCATTTTTCTCATTTTAATTTGTCTTTGAAAAAATCATTTCGCATGAACAGGGCTATTGTAAGTAATATCCAAATTAAGTTTGGAAGCTCAATATGAACTATTTACGATTTTTTTGTCCGATATAAAAAAAATGGTAAAACTATTGGTGAAAGATGGATTGTGTTCAAATTGTAACCCTGGGGTCAAAATTACTCTTGCTTTGGGTGGGGGTGATACTTTTTTATGACTTTGTATAATAGAAAATCTTATGAAGGGAGCACTTGGGCTAGAATTTAGATATTTGGCATTAAACTTCAACCTGTGGACCTTTACCACAGTTTCTGATTTGACAACCCTTAAGACGAAATAGACCTGTCCGGGGGGGGTATAGGTTTATATACAGTTAAACTTTCGAAAACTTTTTTTGTGAATAAAAGCATTTATCATCTTAAAGAGAATATTTTAGAATAATTACTGACTGAAAAGCGGACACCGAGATCATGATCGGACAGCTTTGATGTACAAACTGATCTTGGTATGCAGTTAGATGGGTAGATTCAATTGTCGCCAGTAGGCCAAGAGTTGAGACACCTCTGCTTAATTTCATTTGAGCCGCGTCACGACAAAAACCAACATAGTGGGTTTGCGACCAGCATGGATCCAGACCAGCCTGCGCATCCGCGCAGTCTGATCAGGATTCATGCTGTTCGCTTACCAACCCTATTACAAGTAGCAAAACTGATAGCGAACAGCATGGATCCTGATCAGACTGCGCGGATGCGCAGGCTGGTCTGGATCCATGCTGGTCGCAAACCAACTATGTTGGTTTTGTCATGACGCGGCTCATTTTATGTTTTCCCCCGACTGTCGATATCATGTTCGGTATTCAAGCATATTACGTAACCACTTGACAAAGGTTTATGACTGTATCTGTTATCTTTATATTTCTAGGTTACAATATCTTTCTTATTAGTAATCATTCAAGCTTTACTACTTCAGTGAGGAAAAGTAATTGAATAATAACTTTATAAGTATTTAGTTGAAGGGTCTAGTCGGTCTACTAAAGAAGACACCTTTAAGCAGTTACTAAAAACATACAAAAAAAAACTATTCTTTAAATATACCAAACAGCTAGAGCTTATATATATAGAATGAAACATCTTCTAGTAGGTGTCTACCAAGGTTATTTAAATAAAAGCCCTGGGGTCAAAAGGGGGTTATCGATTGTCCTTATATGTATATAGTAAAACTTAAACGTTTTCTTTTAAAAAACCCAGAGCTTAGATATGTAGCATGAAACATCTTCTAGTTAAGTTTGTTCAAATAAAAATTCAGGGTCGCTCGGGGGGGGGGTCATATGTATATATACATATTTTGGAACTGTTTTCCTAACCTGAAATGTTTTTACAGATGCACTAGTTCATATGAACTTTGTAATATCAGTTTAATATTTAGATTTTATATTTTCATTTGTTTATAGTTTACAATATTACTTGTTCCTTGTCATTGACAGTTTTTATATTCAGGTGAGCGATTTCAGGGCCATCATAGCTCTCTTATTTATCTCTTAACCCGATATTTCTAATGGATTTGTCCAGCATTCTGTTTTTGGAACTGTCAATTATTAAGTACGGGGTTATCAAGATGAAAAGTTATAGAGTGGTCAGACTGCACGGACGTTAACGCTGGCATGGCTCTATACATGTACTTGTAGCAAATGCTAATTCACTTGCGGTTCCCGCACAGTTGTTGTATAACAACAGCAATGTACGTTTGTGTGGTAAGATTGCTAATAATAAGATTACCTGCCCAAAGTTATGATTCCTTACACTGTATATTGAAAAAAAAAATCAGGATATCTTCTGAAACTGGATTCCTCTTAGTATTATACATGCACATGTATGTACTTATTGTAGTAAAGGTTATTAAACAAATAACATAACTATCCGCACTTCTATCCGGTAATTTTACCACTCTTTCATTCTAGAATTATAACAATAAGTCGCAATGTGGAGGATACATGTTGAGACATTTATCAATGATTTTCACATTATAAAGGGTTCTTAAATAAGCATTTGCTTGTCTAAAACTGGGATATTTTATGCGAAAAGTGCAAAAAATCAAAGCATATAACACGACCTATCCTTTGTGTCCAAATTTATCCTTTTTTCGGTCATGCATAGGAAAATAATCTTTTTTAAGGGTCAACTCGGTACATTCTTGAATGAACATTTGAAAGGAAACACACACTTCTTTAAAAACTCTTGACATTTTCAAATCGAGTATAGGTATTTACAAACCTTATCCCCCCTTCCCATCACTCTCACAATGTATAAACACTGAGTAAGTGCATATGTTATTTTTTGGTCCATATCTGAACGAGTATCTAAAGTGCCCGGTCAAGTGGATAGAGAAT